TTAAAAGAATCAATGAAAGTAGCTTATATGGCTGATTAAAATTACTGGTATGTGATGCAACTTTATACATGTATAATGCACATTGTCATCCTTATAAATCAATTTCTTTTCACGAAAAAACGAAATTGCCTATCATTTTCAGATGATAAAAATACTTAAAATAGGAGCAGCATTCGGTATTAACGTTCCACAGGAAACTAAGAGTAGATATATACATACCCTTAAAAAATGTCATTTTCAAGTAAATTGTTCCCCTTTGCAAGAAAATCCATTAATTTTAAGAGAGCTCAGATGTTTCGAACAAAAAAAATCAAACTATAATTATAAGCCTGATTAAGCACTTCAACAAAAGGTTCAAGTGAAGTTAGCAGCAAACAGTAAATATTTAAAGTCTACGTGCAAAACTTTTAACTTCGATTAAAATTACGCAACTCACCTAGGGTCAAAATTACCGTGTTCCCACACAACTGAAGGTAATCACGAAATAAATATCCGTGATAAATATAAACAAACATATCATTCGACCAAACACAAAAATATTTCAGCGCTTTGAAAAAAAATTTTCACGCAGCAATATCTAAGAGTATTATTATAAAGTGCCAATGGAACCTTTTTGTTGCACAATAAAATACCAGGTCTTGCTAGTAAAAAATTCAATTATTTTAATTAAAAAATTAATTATTGACAGAAACGAAACATACCTGCATTTTCCTATCACCTACAGATAGTCTTTTCTTGAATTCTCTAAAGTAGTTAATTTGTTGGATATTGTATATCGTTTGGAAGAGAACAACTTCTAACACTTTACATTTTTACTGCGAAAAAGTTATTTATAGCTAATGATGGCGAAACATTTATTCAGACTGCCACATGTGCAATGGTTCACAATACTAATTAAATTGATAGGCACCATTCTACTGGAAAAGTACGTAGGAATCAGGTTTCTTTTGGTTATGTATGTGGCTAAATCACTCGAAAACATGGCATTATTCGATGCAAGGCTTAGCCACAAAAATTGTTGTACTTTTGCAACATTAATAAAATATTTTTAGACACTGAATGTCTATCACTTAGGTTTCTTCAAAAGTAATATGAGCGGCAGTTATTTAGTGGCTGCAATTTGATCAACAATATCATCATTCTCATGTCGTTACAAGCGAGAAGAACACTAATACGTCTGGTTCAAAACAGAGGTAGTTTACTGCCGCCCATATAAAACACAATCGTAAATCTAGGGGCTCAGATCCAGTAAACGCAGTCATGTTCATTTTGAAGAAAAAAATAAATAATCTTTTCTATTTGCGTACTTTTTGAAGAAGACTGTACAGATTGTTAGGCTATTTATTGCACATGGCAAAAAACTACCTGCAAACTTAAGCAGTCACGATGCGGAAAAATATTTTCATTTCGCATGAATTTGCAGAAAATCATTTACCCACAAATGAAAGTTTCTAGTTTACAAAATAAACGACTTTTTGTCGTCTTGTATAACCAGATGTCATTAAAAATGAGCAGCAGAGAGAATCTGTGAATTTCGAGGAAATTCTGCTACGCCAAACCTACAAAAGCCTTGTAAATATTGTAAAAGGTCGTCTTAGATAACTTGACACTTGATGAACGGTGATACCTTGCTTATATGGATTTGCGACTTTACGCTCTCTAGGTGCGATTGTTAACTAAGTTGGCAAACCTGTCCTGGAATTCGTTTAGTTTTTGATGACTAGAATTTCAATGATTGCGGTTTTATTACACTGTTAACTTGTACTCACTTCTTAGCAAGCATGTATGCTCATAATCGATTAAAGAAAAAACCCTAAATTCCCTGTTAGTGGAATGGTAGATTATGCGTTTGGCATAAGTCTCTTCTCCAGCATTCTTTGGAAATATTTGATAAAGATCCGCATAACGTGATAAAACCAGACTTTCTCGGTTGAACACGAAAAAGAGCCTAAATTCTATCTCTAGTACTTTCTCCGCAATGTCGCATTATAAATGGTTAAATTGATGGATGATTTAAAATAGCTGATATTAAAAGTTTGTCTGCAAAATTTCAAATGAAAAACATTTAAAAGTGTTAAAAAACTACGCCGGTGACTAAATTAGATAAAATATTTTCATGGGCTGGGTATATTATTCTATATTTCGACAATTACTTTCAAATTGTCAATCATCCTATCGGATTTCAGTAACACTTTTAGCATTCTGAAAGGTAAGTATCGTACGTTAAGTCAGACATGAAAAATATTTATAACTTGTGAATAGCACAATCCGAGTGAGAACTCATCCTGACGCGAATGAGAAAATCAGCTACGGAGATCGACAAATTGTTTTATTTATACATTGTGGAATTCAACGAGCATTCATCTCTGCAAATTTTCTCCTTTGTTTTTAACAGCTAATTGCACATTTTGATGCTAACACAAAAATATCCACAAACCCGATAAAACGTAACATTTTTGTGCCAAAATATTTTTTTGATTGCATTACTTTATTAATTTGATCTTTGTTTCATTAATGTGGTGTTAAAGACCGAACATAGGATCTTATAAACCTATTCTTATACAATGATTATATTTTTTAAATTCAATTGTCTAAAATTGACCTATTTTTAGCTTGATAAATTATTGAAAGGAAAATTTTAGTTTTAAAGTAAATGGTATCCGACTGACTTAAATAAAGCATTTTGCACACAAAACTAGTGGACTTAGTCTGTGTTTTACTCGCTCATTTGTTCATTTGTTTTTTAATGCGCAAACTCCGGTTGTTGTTTACATCTGTGTTCGTTTTGAAGGTGCCTGAGTCTTTTAAGGTTCTTTAAAAATTGTCTATGATTTCCGTGTTACATTTATTTGATACTGCATGTAAATACCCTCCACTCTTGGTTTCGTGAAGTTTTTTGCATGGCTGATTCATAATTCATTGAAATGTAAGATTTCACTCAACGATTTTTGTGCTGCAATATTGAACTTGCTTTTGGCAAGAACAACTGTGCTGAACCCTGCGTAATGTTTTGTAAAAATTTAATGGTTTTATAATTTGACAAACATGAACTCGTGTGTAGAATTAACTTAACATGCATTCTCATGTTTTTTCGGTTTTTTTTTGTTATTTTCTTTGTCTAGTCCTGTTGATTGTACTCTTTTAATTCAGCATTTCAGTCAGTTACTTTGCAAGGGATAGTATGTGAATTTTTCAAACAAATAGTTCCATGAAATGTAGTCGGTAAGTTAAAATCCTCGTTCAGCTTCGTGGCTGTAAATGTTAGGTTAAACAACATTTCCAACTATTCCCATTCCAGTACATATTTACTACAAAACGTAGTCTAAATCTCTTAAGTGTGAAGTTTTTTGATATAAAGCTGACCATTTTTTCTTTACCAAAAGAAACGTAAGCATGCTGATATGGTTCGCTCTGCGTAACTGGTTTTTTTGGAACTCCATCAAGTGACATGAAAATTTTAGCGCCGAGGTCGTCTTTTTTCCTGTTGGAACTCCAATTATGATATATCGGATATAATTTCAATTTAATGAGATTAGGTTTGCAATAAAAAACTTATATCGTTTCTCTATGTTCAGAACCCCCCAAGTCTAAATAGATCGGTTTTAGTTGATTTGTTTGGTTTTGGTTTAAAGCAATGATAACACTCACAATCAATGTTTTGAAGGCGATTGTTTGAGGTTTCGCCAATTTGCCGATGGAATTTCGTTTTTCGGTATAATTTTGTTAACTATGATTTTTTTAAATGTGTTGCTGGTAGACACAGTTAAAAACAGGTTTTATTAGTAGGTGATGTTGCTGTTAACGTATTGTAAGAAATCATATGCATTCTGAATGACATAAATTAGAATTGACTTCGTGGCAGATTGTGCATATTTATTTGCTATCAAACGAATATTTTTACCTTAGAGCATAAGACCTCTATTTGACCTCACTGTTCTGTTGATTTTTTTGAAAACTTTATTGATGCCACCTGTGCTTCATGTGTCTATTCGTTCTTTGGGTGTTTTAGTGGTCCTTTGTCGTCAAATGATAACAAAATCTTTCGCTTCTGTAGGCAAATTTCATGAGTGTCAGCAGTTTATCAAATGGCCTCCATCTCAGCGAATCGGTATGATGTGCCGCTGTTGTGGTCCCAAGCCCAAAATTCTATCTATTTGCCTACTTTGATCGAAAGCGCTGCGCTAGAAGAACTTCCTGCAATGACGTCAGGGAGTAGTATTTGTTCTTTGGATCCCTATGTAAATCGTCATCCGAGGTTCTGCTACGCTCGAATTCGCAAGAGTCTCAAGCGTCTTATATCCAAAAATGGCTTTGACAGCTTACGTCACAGAATAAGTGGGAGTTCTGGCTCAGTACAACAAAATAATTTTGAATTACAGTCACGCTTTCCACTCGTTTTATCTGCACGCGCTGAAGAGCAGACACACTCTATTCACTCACCATTTAACGAGCTTGACCAGGACATCAATGCTTCAAGGTCAAAACGATCCTGTTTAGGTCTGCCGTGTTTTTCCCGTTTTCGTGATTTTTATCAGTCTCTTTCTAAATCATTGGGCCACCTAACAGGTAGGAGGATGCCAAATGAAAATCTTTTTGTTCTTAGTATGATCCAAATTCTCTGCGGCCTTGCAGCGGTTGTTTTATCTGGGGTTGCAGTTACGAAAGTTGTATTTTTGTACCAAATGGCAACGGGTCTGTGGTCTGGATTCTTAATGTTAGCCACTGGATTTCATGGTATTCTCACGGCTAGGCGCTGTACCTCTCGTACGTTAGTGAGTCTACTAATCTTCTGTGTTCTTGTGGCTCTGTCTGCTTGTTTGTTAGCTTGTGTTTCTGTAGCAGGCTTAATTGAAGATGGAATTTTGAAGCCTGACATCTCGCCGACTCTTCTTACTACCCCAAATTCTCCTTACTATCTATCTAGCCAAATTTCCGTTGCACCTAATTTGCATTTTGACATTCCCCGGGGTAGCTTTTTACGTCGACGTATCATTTCAAAGATGCAACCTCCTCGACTGCATCAGGTTATGCTGCATGTGTTACTACTTGTAATCGGGATTTTGGAGACTGCTGTGAGTGTTGCTTGTGTGGTTCTATGTTGTCAGCAGGTTTTTCCGCCTTCCTCGACTTCTTTTCTTTCTGTAATTTCTTATCTTCGAAATCGAGGAGCAACCCTGGTGGCAGGTGGGACTGAATATCTTTTGGCTGTGGCTGCACAGCCTGGGAAGCCTCCTCCAGTTCTCTTGGACTACGCCATGCCTCAGCCTTACCTTCATCCCTCTGCACATCACTTTTTACCTCGGCCGGGACGTCGCATCATGATTTTAACGCAAGCCGAAACAGGCATCCATGCTTTGGCATCTGTTCAAGCTGTAGCGAGCATCGTATCTTCTCCACGCTCTCAAGTAGCAGCTGAGGAGTTGAGGGGTTCAGCTTCACCCTCAGTCTTGAGCGCCGCCAAAATAGCAAAAAACAGAAAGGAATCACATAAGTTGAAAACCCGCCTCTGTAGTCTGCTTCCTCGATTGTCGTCACCGAATAGTGTCAATGGCAGGTCGTCCAACAACTCGAATCTTCTCTACGTGCTTTCATCCACGTCACCAAGTGATCCCCCTATGGTTTTTCCACCGTTTCCTCCAGCTTACTCCCCTGATGAGGAAAGCAATTCCTGCAGTACTTCTTTTGCCCACCCTCAGGTACTACCACCAAATCACATGAACTCCCAAAATCTTAATCTTCGTGAATGTCTTCCTTCTGTCTCAGCATTTAGTAGATATCAATCTTGTTATAGACTCGGCTGCCGAACGAGCGCAGCTTCAGTCTTGCGACATACATTTTCAGTTAGTCGAAATAGGACCAGGTCTTCTCTCATAAGAAGACCTAATGCAGCGGAAGCTGCAGTTGGATTGTTTGGGGATCGAATTCTTCAACCTGTTTTGGTGATCGAAGATACCGAAGTGGATGAGAATTCGGAGCCTCTGACGCAACCGACAATCATCACTCAAACACCCCCACCTAGCTACAGTTCGACACTGGAAGTACCTGGATCAACTACAACAGTGTGTTCACCGTAGCCACCTACCCCTAAGCGTCCGCTTTCGCTAACACCATCAACTACCAAGTAGAGTCCAGTAATCCACTAAGTGCTGAGGATTATCGTTGCATTATGCCACTATTTATTTGCCTCAAGTTTTAATTCAAACCTCAAGATTTATAAAATAGTTTTACGTTGAATGTCTTTATTCTGTGTTGATTACGGGGATGTTTCCACTTTGTGAGTGATCTACAGTCGCCTGTGTGTTCTAATGCTAAATACTGCGTTATTCATATCAGCTGATGTGGGTAAAAACTACCAATTTTAAAAGTACGCTTGAGGTGAGCATTGTGTGCGTGTGTCCGTGTCATTGTGCTCTTAAGGTTATTTTAAAAGGCAAAGGAAGTAATTGAACTCTCTTAAAGTCCAACTCAGTGATGTTGGTCCACTCAGACTAGCGTTCTTAGATTGCAAAAGGAACACCCGGAATCCGCAACTCATCCCATAAGATGCACCTGCCCTTTTCATTGGTCTGCAGTGAACTGCCTCCAATTTGTGACAAGTTGGTTTAACATGATCAAACATTAGTGTATAACGGCAGTACAAGCGCTAACATCAGGTTGAACCATGCCGTATGTGTCAGAAATTTCAATTTGAGGGAGTGATACCTCATTTTCTTGATGCATAAATACCATCACATAGTAATGTACATTGACTCGCACTTGCTGGCTTGGTTCAACACTTCCCTGTCATTCACAAGGTGGTAGCAACGCAATTAGTATTCAACGAATCATCTGAAGGTAGACTCATGGTTCGAATCAATTGGACTTGAAATGTGCGTCATTGCACTACAGATATAGTTGTGCCTTAATCTGAATCAGTAGGGTATGCATGTCCGTAGAAAAGTTGTAAAGAACGCTTCGCTTCTGTTTTTGGGAAGTCTTTAAAATTTGTCTCATTATCTAACGCCATAGTTTTCTTTACTGTTTCCTTGTAGAACACCACTTGGTTTTATATATCAAAAAAGAATATGGGTCTGTTTGAAGATGATTTAAATTTAAAATCTAATTAGTAGCAAGTATATAAATGGGAAGTGACAGCCTACCACATGTAACGTTTTACTTTATGTGAGGATAACCAAACTGCAATTTCTTGGATACCCAAGGAAAACTTTTCCGAATTTACAAGTTCACATATAGGTGAGTAATTAGGTATGTTTGTCAGCAAACTCGCAAGCCCTTGAATGAGGTGTGCCGTCCTCATCGAAATTGCCTAGGGTAGCCTGACCAAACGGAGGCCCGAGTGGTTCTCCACAATCAATGGAGTCCGAATCGGTGCTTACCTTCCAGTGGTTTACCTGCAATATTTACGCTGAATAGCACCTTCCCTAAACTTTCGACGATATTAGGTTAAGCCACAGGGAATGGCAAAATTGGTAGATTCCCTTTTGTACAATACTGACTTCATAACGTTCACTATTTATTTTGGAGTATAGAACACAGAGACGCTTTTCTCACCTGTTTAGCATGTTGTTAAACCTTATTTTGGCTAGTCGAACATCAATCAAGACGATATTTCTAAATCGAATACTTTTGGAAATACATGTCCATCATTTAAAGCCAGTGTTTACCAAGCAAACAAACTATCAAAGATATGCTTGTTATGTCAAAACTCTAGATTTTTTTAAAAATGTGACTTGACCCTGAAGCAACATTGGGTGCACATAAATTGATTGTACATTTTTTACTGTAGTCATGTTTCTGTTTTCATTACTTTATTAGTATTTTGAGTATAAACTTATGTTTTCCCTCCCATCAGATTTTATCTTCTACTACCAACAGCCTATTTTAATCAGTTTCTTGGATGTTGTCTTGCGGTTTAATATTTATGTTTCATGACTTTCCTTCTCGCGTCGGTATAGCTCGGCTCTACTGTCATAACCGGTGTGTAAAAGGGACACATATGTTAGTTTTGGTTCCTCTCCCTGATTTTTCATAAATATTACTCCTTTATCATCATCAGGTCAGCGCTTTTTGTTATAATATTTTAATCTGCCTCGTTTATCCTTTATAAACGAAAAGAGCAATAATCAGGGCCACATGCTTGAGAGGCTAAGGCGTTCAGTAAACGCAAAAAAATGCGACCTGGAGTGCTGTTCAATTTAAGAAACCGGCAAGTTGAGTGTAGCTGAATATCTGCTGTGCTTGGGCTATTTATTGGTCAAAGTATAATAGTGCCGGAACGAATATTTGATGTCCCCGGTGGCCTTTTGGAAAAAGGTTTCTTTTTAATAGTGGCCCTTGTAACTGTGGTCGAAGTCTGCTCCACTGTGATTATCGAGAAAAAGATTTGTACTGGTCATTCAATGGTGGAATTAGTTTCAAGTCAGCCAGCTAACTGAACACTGCCTAGTACTGGCATACTGTGTGGCAAACCTAAGTCGTACCATCTCCAGCACTTTCATGAATTCTTTTATCCCACCATCGCTATTAATTTAGTCCATCTAAGACACTTTTCCATTGCTTCCTGTAGTTTTGACTTGATTTCATTTACCGACATTGTTGTCATTTTTTAATTCCACAAAAGCATTGCTAATTTGTCGTCAGCTTTCACAAAATGTTTATTTACAGTGTCTCGTAAAAGGATTAATTGTCGCCCACCCCAACTATCCGACACTGTTTTTTTCAAAACGGCGTCAACAGGAGACATATTCTTTCTCTACAATGGTTTCCTTCCCCATGGCTTCTCACGCTCTCAGTGTAAAAAATCTGCGGTGCCTACCTAGGTTTGTTTGTTTAATCCTACGTCTCGCCGTTAAGCCTGCCGGTTCGATATCACTAGCGTGAAAACAAATCTCAACCGCTCGAGTATAGCACACTGTACACAGGCCTCGGGATCAAAGTCTACAAAACCCTGGGAAATCGCGTGAAGTGGTGCTGTGCACGGTCTCGTCACAAACCGCACGTGACCACCCCAGGCACCTTATTTTGGATCATGTTTACCAAGGATTATACTTTACGCTATGCAAGTCAACTTGCTTGTTATTTTTATTCCCACTCAGAATATGCACTTCTCCCTTGGGTCAAGGTCATCCCCAGATGTTCTTATCTGCCATTCCCTCCTGTGTCTTCATTAAGACCGCTGGGATTTCACCCACATCTCCATCCCTTTAACGGGACAGCTCTTCTTTTATGTTCAATTATGTGATGCCAAACTTGCACCTCACCTCACACCAAAATACCAGCTCACTGCAATGCAGCTGTGAATTTCTCAAACCCCACTTTCGTCGAGCACGCCATTCTCACATTGATGTTAAGCTGGTACATCGACTGTTCGTTTTGTGGTGAACTGTTATACTAAGAATATTGGACGTTTCATGATAACTGCAGGGTTAAAAGATGACATTTCCACTGCCATTTACAAACACCAAGCCTCAATTTATGGAGCTTGTATAATCGCAGTTCTACTGTCTACAAAAAAGGGACGAGGGAAATGAGTGATCGGTAAAGCAGGAGGAATGCACAGCGCCTAGTCAGGATCGTCTTCATGAAGCTTCGGCAAAGTCACGGCCATGGTTTCAACAAGTTGGTTGTTCTTGAATTTCCTGAACGCATACTCAAAGTCCCCCACTGATATAGACGGATTGACGAATGCGCTGAAAGAACAGAGAGGGGCTTAGGAAGTTGGTTTACAGCCGATGAAATTAAAGGAGCGAACAGTTTGAATAAAATACTGCTATAAAGGTTAAATGGCGGTATTTCTTGAGCACTCGAATTTAACCGATTGACATTGTGCTGCAAACAGGCCAAAACTACGACGAAATTATAGAAAGCCCAAAATTGTTTGCACAGACGGGAATTAAATGTGCTTATTTGATAAATTTAGACAAGTCTGCATTAGATCTAAAAACCATTTGAAGCTCCTTATTACAATTGCAGACGTTTAATAAATATCGTTACAAGAATTTAGCGGGTTGAGATATAGACAAGTCTGCATTAGATCTAAAAACCATTTGAAGCTCCTTATTACAATTGCAGACGTTTAATAAATATCGTTACAAGAATTTAGCGGGTTGAGATATAAACGCTTAGGACTACACACTAATATTTCAAAGACTACTAAGCTCGACCACGAGTTGCCTCTGTAGAATTGTTTAGACAAGACAAACTGTACCCTACTCAGCTAGTGAGGAGAAAGTTGACGTTTACGCTGCGCAGCGAACCATCTCAGTGGTAAGGAACGAAATTCTATCATGGAAATAAGCCCCTTTTAAGTATAGAGGCGAAAAGATTGTGGCTGGATGGAATAGGGTGCGCCATTGGTAATGAAATACTACGTAAATAAACCTTAAATAATCTACTACCCTCAGGCTGTTAACAGTTCTTTCACAGTGGCCATTTTCTTGTTATCGACCCGGCTACCCATAAAATTGCGTAAGTAAATAAGATTTTCGATTCTGGAAATATGCTTTCAGATGTTTAGAAGCAAAGTCTTATGCTGCATGCGTATGTGCGATTTAGGAAGCAAGTCGATAGGAACGTATCTTAAACCACATACACTGGGGCAATTACGACAAATTTTAATAGTAGTATGATACAGATAAATAACACCTGTGCGACAATCAGATGGGCCACAAGAAGAAAACGAGTACAGATTGCTGCATGAAGCCGCAATATATTAATACACCTGCTTATCGCGAGTAAAGGCGACGACATAAATGGCTCTGTTGCATTCGAATTGCTTCCAGCAATGCAATCTTGCTAAAACAGCGCATCGGGATGAGTGATGGCAGACGCTATCCTATATAGGAGACGATTAAGAAGAACAACCAAAAAACACAGCCCTATTTCAATTAATTTATCAAAGGAAACATCCTAAGGCAATTAGGGCCACACAACAATGCACACAAGCACGCATCAGAAAGTGCATAAGCTGAAGCGGCAGGCGGTCAAAGCAAAGATTTGAAAGTGTATAAATTTTTAAATAGTCTTTGGAGCATCCTATGTATTTTGGATTATGTAAAATGCGAACAACGCTATGTTTATCGTTTATTTAGATATCACCTGACAACCCTTACGTATACATGATCATAAGGTTATTGATGTTAGTGATGCAACAAACAAAAACGATACACGTTAACTTTTTTAGGTTAGATTTAATTATGCCTAAATAGCATCTTTACATTAATATCACCAAAACTTTTGTAAGATAACTGACATAATCGATTCTAAGAAGGTAGAAACTAAAGACAAATGAAAGATCTACAAGGTGAACAGTGATGTGAAGTACATTTAGGTGCAGCATAAAAACATTCAAAAGTAAGAATTTTATACGAAACCTTTGGTACTCATGTCGCGAAGCCACACACACAACAATGTGGTATGCAATGGCCACCCAGGCAAGTTCGAAGCAAAGAACTTTCAATTAAATAACACAGTTAACAGGTTACTGCATCGATTGAACAGGAATAATTGAAGGAGACAGAAGTATGCCATGCTACAACATACTAAAAGGGTCAATCTTTGTTTCTGGATTGGCTAGCCAATTAGAGTACACACGTATGTAGAAACCGAATGCAGCGAGGAGATAATATGAACACTAATGGCAATACATATCAATCTATTTTACTAACGGCAGGAACAACATTACCGATTGTCACACAAGGAGGTTTGAGTCGATCGATGGTGAGTTTTGAAACCCCTATATGCCAGTCAAATGAGCTGCATTTAACAAGTTCTATAAGTCTAAAAGATGACCTCAATTCCTGTAACATGCACATCCGGGAACATAAAAGAGTTGGTTCATCAATAACGTTTCGAGTCCGGCCAATAACAAGCACCTATTGTACATGTTGACTGAAAAGTAATCAACCAAATTGACAGCCATGGAGCAGTACCGCGGCAGACACGCTTCCACAAATTCAACTACAAAAATGGTGGCAAATTTAGCATGTTCGTTCCTACCTGCTTGTCATTGGTTAGTTTGTAACCGGGAATAAGAAGAAGAGGCCTAAAATGATTTGCTCCTAAGTTATTTGAGGTTAGAGAAAGTAGGACGACTGTATCTTTAACTCAAGATCCAAACACATTCCCCTCACACGGAAGTAGGAGTCTTCGAGAAATCAATGGTTCTAAAAAACTGGAACGGCTTGTAAGATAGCAATGATGTCTACCCAGGTGCGCACAAACCCAAAGGTTTGGGAAAATTCCTTCGTGAGAAATTTCGACGTATATCAGAGGGTGAGAGGTATGCAAATTCCCTGGGTCAACAGACAAACGCTCCGTTTTAGCAAGACAGCCTAGGGCTTTAAGCACACGGGATGCCCAACAATTTTGTGGTGTAGTCTACGTGCAGTTCACATGGTCGTTGGTTATTCGAAAAACCACCTATGATTTAGATTGGGGAGTGCAAGACGTTACTGTGCAGAAGACTCACATAACCACTAGCAACAAACACGAAAATATCTTTCGTTTTATTCACAGGCTCCATGCAACTCCCATGATAACCGCGCATGAAGTTGCACCAATGGGTCAAAACCGTCGCTAAATAATAGACGAGAAGTGACACTTGACAATCGCCACAGCCCACTCGGTGTCACGTGGACGAAATTCGATGACATCATTTATACGCCAACATGCTTATGATGTGTCTGTGTCGATAAAACGGTTAAAGCAAACGTTCAACAGGGAGTTTCCTTTGATTTTCGCATATTACCCGCGTTTGCTAAAAATATGACAATTCTAGAGAAACCTTACAAAAGCACAGTTATCTTCATGGTCAGAGGAAGGCAAATTGGAGCTTACGGGCTAGTGGAAGAGGATTCGACAGATTGTGGGGATGATGGAGAGGCATGGAGCCAGGCACGAAAGCCCCTTAAGGCGGCTTCACGGCAAATCTCGAAAAGGTCACTGCCCGACAGACCTTCTGTTTGCTCAGCAAAGGACTTCAAAAACTCCGGAGTAACTAGGGCGTCCAAAGGCTCATTATGAAGATGAACCTTCAAAATCTCCAAACGTTGTTGGGCATTCGGCAGAGGAACATACACCTAATTAATGAAGGGAGTTGTTAAGCAATAAAACCGAACCATGCACCTGCTGAGTAATTGCGCAGAAAACAAGCAAATGCAGGAAACACCCCTGGATCTATATCTTAGCAGTAAACGTCTACAAAACCCAATGCATAAGCAAGCCGCTATAATTAAGGAGTGGGATTAGGTTTGACTACCTACTCCTATACACCAAAAAATTTTGACTGGGAGGTGCACGTGAAGGCTCTATTCGCAGAAATTGAGGTCCACTCAAAGCAACGTGCGAAATTCTTCATGTAGATTAAGCTCCCATCAGAAAAGATGATGCTCACCTTGTAGGGCAGTCGCCTAAGTATGGCACTGTCGAGATCACTGGGTCTGTTGGTAGCACCAATAACAATAATGCGGCTGTCTGGTTCAGAGAGAAGTCCATCCCAGAGAGCCATAAACTGGGTCTTCATCATACGTGTCGACTCATTGTCGTGAACAGAGCGAGTTGTTAGAAACGAATCTAGAAGAAACACGCAGCATCATTGGATGGCGTCAATTTGGATGCACCACATTAGGCACTAGCATCGGATAAAGCCACGACGCGCAACGCACAAAAACATTG